ACGGCCGGAAGGTGGCAGGGGAGCACCCACCATGGTGCTGGCACACTGTGGGCCCTGCGTCATTCTCCTTCTGCTTGCCTGGGTCTGCAGCACATGCAGAAGCAAAGAGCTTTCATTGGGAACGAGAATACATGGAATCTATTCATCATTCCAACCGGCTGGAGAGCTGGGGGCAGGGGAGGGCCGCCCTGCGGGGAGGATTCAAGGATTCCAGCCAACCAGAAGTCCCTCATCCCCTTTAATTCTCCCAGAGAGAGCCTGCCCAGGTTGAGTTATCTTCTGTGGGAAAGAAAAGCAGCTCTGGACATTTTAACCTAACACGGATCATAGAGCAGGGAAAATATAACAGCCCCAAACCACTAAGCGCTCTTCAACTAGATTTGCCCAGCCCTGCCAAAGAGGCAAGCAGCGGCCACCGTTAAAGGAATGATGTGTCTATCTCAGGAGGAAGTGGGAAGCCCACCTGCCCGGGAGGAGGTAGGATTCCAGGGGAGCTGACGGGGCATCGGCCCACGTGACCTCAGAGGCAGGTCCTGGCCAGGCAGCCCGGCAAGGAGGTGGGTGGCTGCTGAGTCAGGGTTCCTGGGATGAATGGCCGTCAGTGGGCCAGAGCACAGAACACAGGGACAGTCCATCTCTCTCTGTCAACCACCCCTCACCCTTGACGGCTAAGTTGGTGGGTTCCTGCAACACATGCATGAAAATTGCAAGTCTCATAATTCACCCAGATGGTGGAAGCTCCCGAATTGCTCCCTCTCCAGAGACAGCTGTTCCACTGCTGGGCCATATGGCTCCCCTCGCTCTGCACCCTGCCCTGGGAAATGAACCGCGTTCACAGGCAGCTTCCCCGATCTTAGAACCGTCTCTTGTTCTTAGCAGGTAATTAAGACCTCCTGCGGAGGCGGCCGCGCTGCTCCCTGCGTGGTTTGTACACATGTCAGGGCCGTGTTTGAAAGCTCCTTCAAGGTAAATACAGGGGCCTTTGCCTTCTACTCCAGGGGAGTGTCTGCCATCACAGGTACAACGAGACTGCCCACAAGTCAGCTCCCCATTTCTCCACCCAAGGCAGGGCAGGCCCTCACCCCACCCAGACATGCCCCAGAGTTCTATGCTGGAAGTGACCTTTGACGGAGGCTCATGTCAGCACAGATGGAGACTGGATAAATCTTCCACTTTTCACCATTTGAGTTGTAAAGTTATGAGCAAAGACCTTTAAGGCTAGCTGTGATTTGGGAATGCCCCGACCTCCTCAGTGGGGAATAATGAGCACCAGAGGGCAGAGATGCTTCCTGTCACTGGCAGGTGGGGTCCCGACCCCTCTTTGGAGGACCCCTCTCTACAGTTCGGAGTCACTGTTTCCCTCCGGGACACCCAGGGCCTTGATGGTGCAGCATACACGGTCTCAGCTCTCCAAGTGGAAATGTTGCGATCTGTGCACCCTCCCGGAGCAAGCAGGGCTGTGACTGGTGCCTACTGCTTACAAAGAAAGCTGGCCTCTGGTATATTCGATGGCTCCACCCCATTCCCATGATACATACTCTGAGCCCATTAATATTTATTTGCCATTTCTTTCTGACATTTTCAAACATTTTTTTTGGAAGTCAGGGGAGGGGGTCTGTGTGCCCCTCCTCCCAACCCTTATCTCCTTCCATTCCTTTTGCCCTCGACCTAGCAGGGAAGCCCTCTCTGTCTTATCCTGCCACAATGGATAACAAGAGCCAAAGCCTTTTAAGCACAGTGCCAGTCACTGTTCTAAGCTTGTCACATGAATTTACTCACCTAATCCTTGCAAGCCTAAGTGGAAGGAACTCTTATTATCCCCATTACACAGATGAGAAAAGTGAGGTACAGAGAGGATAAATAGCAGGGTTC